TATTTATTTATCATGTGTCGTATTACCCTCGATCGTACCTATCCCGTACCTATCCCCTACCGTACTGTGCCATCAAAGACGGCTGGCCACAATGCATATTCAAATAGGGCTTTCAAATGCAAGATCACAATGTGAAACAACTTGGAAGAATGGGTATGAATGCGAAGTGTATGGGGGAATGCATGAAGGGCGATAGTGCGGGTTCGAATCCCAGGATATGCCTGAAAAGAAAATAGGAGAATTGAAAATTTTATAACATCCTATGCTTTTTTGCCATCAGATCACAATGTGAAACAACTTGGAAGAATTAGTATGTATGCGAAGTGTATCGGGGGATGCATGCAGGGTGCGCGATAGTGCGGGTTCGAATCCCAGGTAATGTCTTAAAAAAAAAGAGGAGAAAAAATGAATTTATAACATCCCTAGCCCTATGCTTTTTTTGTCTAGGTCATCAAGGCAAAAAAGCATAGCGTAGGGCCCTGAGCTTCCAAGCTCTCTCGTTTGGTGTTCGTTTGTTTGTTTGTGTCACGCCTGGCGCTATCCCGTATCTGTCCCGTACTGTACCAGCAAAGATAGCTGGCCACAATATTTTTGTTTGTTTGGCGCTATCCCGTACCTGTCCCGTACCATCAAGAGAATGAGTATTATTCCCGTAGCTATGCAGAAGATGTTACTTCAGTAACGTCTGGCGCTAGCCAGGGTCCACACAGCTTTAATTTGGTGTTTGTTTGTTTGTTTGTTTGTTTGTTTGTTTGTTTGTTTGTTTGTTTGTTTGTGTCACACTTGGCGCTATCCCGTATCTGTCCCGTACCGTACCGTACCAGCACAGAAAGCTGGCCACAATATTATTTGTTTGTTTGTGCCATCAGCATGCCCGGCGCTATCCCATACCTGTCCCGTACCATCAAGAGTACGGTACCATCAAGAGAATGAGTATACGAAGTGTATGGGGGAATGCATTCAGGCCGATAGTGCAGTAGCATCTTGTGTGGATTTGTGTGCGAGGCCGAGATCCCACTGGCAGGCTGGCTGGGCCGCCTGTCGACCAGCCCGGGATTCGCATGTAGGCCGATAGCATAATAATAATTATAACGTATAGATGTATAGCAGGGATTCGTACTATGTAAACGACTCCCTGCTGTATAGGGAGATTTTCTGGAAAGAAATACGAAGTAGGGAGACGAGGAAATGCTATTAGAATGGACTTTAGTTGCCGAATAAAAGACAGGATGCGTCAGCAAAAACATACTTTGTAAGAGAGATCCCGTCATCTCCAAAATAATCCTGAACGGGCGAGTCAGCGCCGGTCACGGAAAACGTCGGAAGAGAGATCCCGTCGACTCCAGAACGTCCGTGATCGGCAGAGTCAGCGCCGGTCACTAGGGGTGTGCGGATAATGCTCGAAAAGGTGGCAGATTCTGCTCGAAAAGCAGTGAAATTGGCAGAACCATACAAACCTTATGGCGGGCAATTCCTCGAATTCTGCTCCATTTCTTTATCCACATACCAAACATGCATGAAACTTACACGAAAAAGTACCGAATTCTGCCAATTTTTCTGCCGGAATTATCCGCATATGCCTACCGGTCACAGGAAACGTCAGGACAGATAATAACTTCGACTCCAGAACGCTAGCCAGGGCCATCACAGCTTTGACACGTTACATGCATGATAAGCAAGCAAAAAAGCATAGCGTAGGGCCCTGAGCTTCCAAGCTCTCTCGTATGCGAAGTGTATCGGGGGAATGCATTCAGTGCAGTAACATTTTGTGTGAATTTGTGTGCGAGGCCGAGATCCCACTAGCAGGCTAGCTGGGCCGCCTGTCGACCAGCCCGGGAATCACATGTAGGCCAATAGCATAATAATTATAAGGTATAACTCCCTGCTATACATCTACATGACTGTATATTATACAGTCATGTAGATGTATAGCAGGGAGTCATAATATGTAAACGACTCCCTGCTGTATGGGGAGATTTTCTGGAAAAAAATACGAAGTAGGGAGACGAGTAAATGCAATCAGAATGGATGTTAGTTGCCGTCACTATAATAATAAGAAGAAGAAGAACGCCCGTGATCGGCAGAGTCAGCGCCGGTCCCAGGAAACGTCAGGACAGACATCCCGTCGACTCCAGAACGCCCGTGATCGGCAGAGTCAGCGCCGGTCCCATAGCTATGCAGAAGACGTTACTTAAGTATCTCATTGAAACGTTTTTGCAATACAATGATGTAGCTGATCAAAGGAAAAAGCATTTCCATCAGTTCTAACAACATGCACGATGAGCTAGGCAACAAAGCATAGCGCAGGGCCCTGAGCTTCCAAGCTCTCTCGTTTGCGGTAAATATGCGGTGAATAATATTGTGCGGCAATTTTCTGTGAGTATGTAGTGAAATCAATCAGTTACAAGTCTCTGGTGTAAGCACTCATCATATTTGAGTAAAAAGCCGCCACGGTGAGACGTTGCTGACCGAACAGTGCACTGTGTGTACGTGTTGTGCAACAAAAAAAGTTCAAAAATCGCGGAAAACGCGGTCTTTTAAAAATCGCAAAAAACGCGGCCGCGGAATCGCAATTTTCCCCGGGGACAGTACATGCATATGTACAATGTATATCCGCTAGCAACCAATTGAAACGGAAACACTCCGTTTTGATGTTCAATTGCATGATTTATGTTTGAAATTCTCTGCTGCTTATTCGCAGTCTGCATGGTATTGTACTTGCTCTTTACTTACATGTAGAGCATCGCTGGCTACTAGCGAGGGTCCCTTGTTCGAGTCCTGGTGGTGACAGTCAATGTTTTCTTCAGACTTTTCCCGTTTGTGTCTTTCCCTCAAACCAGTGAATATTATTATTATTATCTCTCCTTTATTCACTTCTTTCGAAGGCGATAAGCCAGACCCACCGGGAAATATTTCCATGGGTGGGACAGCAAAAAGAAAGTGAAAAAACAAACAAAAATAAATAAATAAATAAAACCTAAAAACCAAAGGGACAAGAAATAGTTGAAGGAAGAGGAAGAAAGGAAAGAAACTCAATCCGAACTCCAACATCAAAACAATAATAAAGAATTTGCAGCGACAGGAGTAGTAGTGACCGAGCCGGTCCTGGGCCAAGGTTGAACCCACTTGACCTTATGAATGGGTACTTGAACTTTGCGGTTATTAATTAAGTGGCCACTTGAACTTTTAATTGGATAAGTGGTAATGAAGTGGCCACTTGAGATCTGAAGTGGTTTTGAAGTGGGCCAGGTGTCATATTTAATTGGATTAATGATTAAGTGGTATTTGAAGTGTCTCTCGACGTCATAAGTGCTTTTAAAGTGGTGGGTGTGGTTGTTGACAAGAGTCACTGTCTGGGAATGTGTTCTGGAACCTTCTAGGTATTCCCAGGCTAATTAGAACTAGCTCTACGGTATGATGTCATAGGGGGGTATTTTAGGAGGTGTGACTCATTTATAAATTGATATCGACAGACATGTAAGTTGATAGGGTTGAAAGCACTTTTAGCGGGGGTATTTGTATTACAAAGAAACATCTCGAACATCGATGCAAAAAGAACCTGTCAATAGCATGCGATATTTGTATTACAAAGAAACATCTCGAACATCGATGCAAAAAGAACCTGTCAATAGCATGCACTCTGTACTGCATTCTACCAACACTCATTGCACACTCCACACAGTATATAAACCGCAGCTCACACCCGCAACTGTATCACAGGTTGGTGAAACAGTGCTACCGCTACTCCTTTGAAACATGAAGCGGATGCATAGTTCAAGCGGCGGTGGCGGTGGTGATAGTGATGTGGGAGTTGGTGAGGATGACAGCTCTTCACCCCCAAAATTGAGAAAAGAATCCGCACTTACTTTGACTCGTACAGCTCCTCGTGGATTCTTGAGAGAGTATAGAGCCAGTTTCCTAGACGAGCAGAAGGACGTTCTTGGCGTTCTCAACGATCTATCGCCAGATCTGTATGAAACAACTAGCAGCACCCCCGCCAGCGTTGCCTGGCCGAATGTGCATGCGGGTGAAGCAAGTACATGAACAGCACACGTGCTCAGCACGTGGTGGTGGCCAGACCGCTGAAGTCCTGGTGAGGGAGGTTCTTCATCGTTGGAAGGAGAAGGAGGGACGTCTGTTACGCCTTCGGGAGGCTGGTCAGGGTTGTCCATCACCTGGTGGCGGATGAAGCGGCTCAAAAAATTCAAAAACTTACGAACAAAAGTGCGATGCGCTCTTCACTGCAGATCAGATGCAGAGTGCAGTCAGTGCAGATCTTTTGTATCCTTTTGTTGGAGATGTTTCTATTTGCAGAGAACGGTTCACGTGGTCCGCAGCGCTTGTGCGGCTGCTAGTGCTACCTATGGCCTAGGCTAGGTGGCTACATGATTCCCACGCTTCGCGTGCTCAGTGCTTCTGCGCGCGGCTGCTACTGCTACTCGTACTGATCGTGTCTGCTATAGTATAAGTATAAGCGCTACCACCGTAGAAATAAAAAATCCGAAGGAAATACGACAATTTTACTGCGTCTGTAGCTTGTGTTGTAGCGCACCTATGTTCTGAATTCCTGCTGGGTGGGTCAAGCCAGACTCTCTTCCCTGTTCCATCGCCTCTGAGATTTACAGATGAGAAATTGCACACCTGTCAAATCGTTTCTGATTCGAGCACGTGCACCCGGGTCTACGTACCTACACTGTTGGCACGCTTCGCGTGCTCAGCACGTGGCGGTGGCTACACGATTCGAACGCTTCGCGTGCTCAGTGCTAGTGCTGTGGCTGCTTCCGCTAGCTACACGATTCGCACGCTTCGCGTGCTCAGTGCTTCTGCGGCCGCTAGCTACACTGTGCTACACTGTTCGCACGCTTCGCGTGCTCAGGGCAGCGCTGCTCCGCAGCGCTTCAGCGTGACACAAAAACACACGTCACAGGTGCCTCTTCTTTATAAGGAGCGTGACACACACACAGACACACGTCACAGGTGCCTCTATTTTATAAGTAAAGATGGTGCACGAGCTAGGCATCCAGCAGTTCAAAGCTGTACTGGTTCTTTGTGTCACTGTTGAGAAGCCCAATGCCGCAGGTGCAATCGTCTACGCCTCTCCATTTTTCCGAAGCCGGCCTATGACTGTGTTGAACGTGAGCAACATTCCAGGTCTACTAACCGCCGCCTTCGACGGGATCACTGCAAAGGTGGACGCTTGGGTGCAAGGTGGTTCAGGCTGGGCTGTGAGTAATGTGAAAACTGCACATCTTGATATTTGCAAGTATCGTCCAATGCGCATGTCGTCGTACCTTCCTCTACCTAAAAAGTTAGCTTCGTCAAAGGCCATCATCAATGTGAAGAATGACGACGAGCAGTGTCTGAAGTGGGCTCTTCTGTCTGCCCTGCATCCAGCTGTGCAACATGCAGAACGTGTGAGCAAGTATGCGCAGTATGCGCAGAGTCTCAACTTTGACGGTGTAGAGTTCCCTGCAACCATAGATGATGTGTACAGGGTGGAGAAGGCCAACTCGCTGAACATCAACGTGTTTGCATTTGAAGAAAACTACATCATTCCCATAAAGTTATCAGGTAGTGACAATGCAATAAATCTCCTGATCCTGCAAGATGATCTCCTTAGCCATTACTGCTGGATAAAGGACTTTAGCGCTCTATGTGCCAGCCAGACAAAGTCCCAACACAAGAGGTTCTTCTGCATGCGATGCCTCTCCGCACATCGCAGCGATACCACTCTGAAGAAGCATCAACTATACTGCAGCGATGTGAAGGCAGCGACAGTCCAGATGCCAAAAGCAGGCGAGCAGCTCAAGTTCACGGAGATACAGAGGAAGATGAAAATGCCGTATGTGATCTATGCCGATACTGAGTGTCTGCTGAAAGCAACGTCTCCAGAGCGCCATGGGAAGCAAACTGTTCGTGAAGCTGAACACGTACCATGTGCAGTATCGTATGTCGTCGTACGCTCTGATGGTGTACTGAAGAACACTTTCACGTTCAGAGGTGAGTCCTTCAGCATAACTAATTAAATGTACTGCTCAATGTGTGTGTGTGTGTGTGTGTGTGTGTGTGTGTGTGTGTGTGTGTGTAAATGTGAAATATCAGCGTTAATCGTATACCCAGTCGTTAAATCTTTATTCTCACAATATCCAGTGGTCAATAAGAGAGATAATATTTTATGAAAAAAAGGAGGAAAGAGTGATGAATAATTTGTTGTTGTTTCTACTTTTGTATATGTAGGAGATGATCCGATTGAAAAGCTTTTCGAAGAGCTCTCCAAGGAGGAAGAGCGCATAGAGGAAGACCTGAAGAACATACGTCCTATCATCATCACGGATGATGAAGAGGTGCAGTTCCGCAATGCCACAGAGTGCTGGATCTGTGGCAAGAAACTGAAGGGTGCTGATCGAGTGCGCGACCACGACCACCTCACCGGACTGTACAGAGGAGCTGCACACAACGCCTGCAATTTGAAGTTCCGCATCGTGCCAGAGCACCATCCCATCCCCGTTGTATTTCACAACCTGAAAGGGTATGATGGACATCTCCTGATATCCAGCATCGGCCTCACGTCCATGAACACTGAGGAGTACATTGACAGACAAGGACGGCGTCGACGCAAGGTGAAGGGGCGCGTTACTGTCATACCCAACAATATGGAGCGGTATGTGTCATTCTCGTGGGGGAGATTCCGATTTATTGACAGTCTTTCCTTTCTGAACGCATCGCTGGACAAGCTAGTGAGCAACACGCCTCGCGACTCGTTCTTTCATCTCAAGTCCCTGGCTTCGTCGTACAGCAACAACGCCCCGGGCAGCAGCAGCAGCAGCAGCAGCAGCAGCACCAGCAGCACCAGCAGCAGCAGCAGTGCACCGGGCTCGTCTAGCAATAACCTGCTGGATCTCCTGCATCGCAAAGGTGTCTATCCCTACGAATACATGAACAGCAGCGCTAGGTTTTCCGAGACTGGTCTTCCTGCAAAGGAAGACTTTTACTCACGCCTCTCAGAGTGCCACATCAGCGATGAGGACTACTGCCATGCCCAGCGTGTGTGGACTGCATTCGGCTGCAGCGACATGGGCGACTACCATGATCTCTACCTGAAGACCGATGTGCACCTTCTTGCAGATGTGTTTGAGAAATTTAGATGCACTGCAATGGTCACGTACGATTTGGACCCGACACACTACTACACCCTGCCTGGATTCGCGTGGGACGCCCTTCTGAAACATACAGGAATTTCGCTCACTCTGCTGGACGACGTGGACATGCATCTGTTCGTCGAGCGCGGTCTTCGTGGCGGTGTTACAATGGCGTCACACCGCCACGCCAGGGCGAACAACAAGTACATGAGCTCACACGACCCTGAGCAGGCGTCAACATATCTTCAATACCTCGACGCGAACAACCTGTACGGCTGGGCCATGTCGCAGCACTTGCCGACATCAAAATTCCAGTGGTGTGTCCCCAGTGACGAACTCCTGCAGAAGATCCTCACGCAGCCAGATGACGCAGACACTGGGTACATGGTGGAGTGTGATCTGTCAGTGCCCACAGAGTTCCACGATCGCCTGAACGACTACCCACCCGCACCGGAGCGTGTAACCATCACCGAGAGTATGATGTCGCCATACCAGCGCGACTTGATTGCAGCAGATCCTGTCTCCGGACTGAGTGCTCCGAAACTGGTCCCGAACCTCATGCCAAAGCAGCGCTACGTAGCACACTACCGTAACCTCAGGCTGTACAGTCGTCTAGGTCTGAGGATCGATGCTGTACACCGCGTGCTCAGTTTCCGCCAAGCTCCGTGGATGAAGCCCTACATCCAGCTGAACACGGAGCTTCGGAAGAAGGCGAAGAACGATTTCGAGAAGGACTTCTTTAAACTCATGAATAACGCTGTGTTTGGGAAGACAATGGAGAATGTGAGGAGAAGAATCTCAATTAGACTGCTGCGTGTGGAAGACGAGGAAGATACCATTCTCACAGCTGTGGCCAAGTCCACCTACGTCCGCCATGTCCTCTTCGACAACGGGCTTGTGGGCATCGAGAACAGGAAGCTTGCGGTCCACCTGAACAAGCCGGTGTACGTTGGCATGAGCATCCTGGAGCTGAGCAAGGAGCTGATGTACAGATTTTACTATGACGAGCTCCAGCCACGCTACGGAGACCGCATGAGCCTGCTGTACACAGACACGGACTCGCTGGTGCTGCTGTTCCGCACGGAGGACCTCTATGCGGACATGAAGAGTATGGCCGATCAGTACGACACCAGCAACTTTAGCCCCGACAGTCCTCTGTACAGCGAGAGTAATAAGAAGGTTGTAGGTAAATTTAAGGACGAGCTCGGAGGGAAGCTCATGACAGAGTTCGTGGCGCTCAGATCCAAAATGTACGCGTACGATGGCGAGGAGAGTGGTCAGCGTGCAAAGGGCGTCAAGAGAGCACACACACACACACACACAGGCCATCATCATCATCAACATACATGACTTTATTCAATAACATTTTTATAACCAGTCAATATTTTTATTATTATTATTTTTAATTTTATCATGCACTGTGTGGTCGGTATGCAGTTCTCGTAGGGAGACTGTTCTTGGAGCTGGGTACTATTGAAGGTACTGTGCGAGTACTTGCACGCCACTAACTGTGACTTCACTGACAATAGGTTGCACAAGGATCCCCTGATCCTGGACGTTGACAGTGATTCAATCACAAACGCCACCGCAGGTGGTGGGACTGGCGGTGTTGGGAGTGACAGCGGTGCAACTGCTGCTGCCCCAGGCACTGACAGTGGTGTCAGTGCTAGTGAGGATGACGATGATGTGTGGATGGAGCGTTTAAAGCCAGTGAAATGCACAGACCAAGACGTGTACGCTTCCCCCGCAGACGTGTGATAGTGCACGAGTTGGATGACATCATAGACATAATGGAGTGAAGATCTGGTGGACATGCAGGCGTTTGCAAAAAAAAAAAAAAAAAAAATGACAATGGCACTCGACATTTGCTGACCGTCATCGATCTTTTCGGTCCCTATGCATGGTGGGTTGTACCGCTCCAGAACAAGACGGGCGCACTTGTCAGAGATGCGTTTCGCAGCATCGTGACCAGCAGCAAGCGCTCACCTCGAAAGCTGTGGGTCGATGAGGGTAAAGAGTTCTACAACGCAACAGTCAAGCAGTGGCTTGCTGACAACGGTATTAGCATGTACAGCACTCATAACGACGGCAAGGGGCGGTGGTTGCAGAGCGATTCAACAGAATGCTCAAACACTTTACAGCAAAATCAACAAATGTCTACATCAAAGTGCTACCCAAAGTCCAAACTTGTACATGACTACAACACCAGCAAGCACCGTACCGCAGTATTGGTATGAAACCTGCCGAGGCGTCCGAGGAGCGTAATGCATCGTTTGTACAGGATCACCCCAGCAAAAGTCCAGATGCACGCACAGCGCGGCGACGCTATGCTGTGAACGATGAAGTGAGAATTGCTGTGAGCAAAGCTCATTTCGAAAAAGGGCTACACACCCAATTGGACTGAAGAGGTGTTCGTCGTGAATAGAGTTCTACCCACCCAACCACCCACCTACAACATTCGAGATCTCATGAACGAGCCTATTCAGGGCAGTTTCTACGAACATCAACTGCAGAAAACCAAGGAAAACCAAGTTCCGCGTGGAGAAAGTCCTGCGCAAACGCCCCGGACAGTCTCTGGTCAAGTGGAAAGGCTACCCGGACAAGTTCAACTCCTGGATTGACAACGGACAATTGAGCAAGCTCTAGCTGCCGACAAGAGCAATCTTATTCTTATTATCATCATCAACATCAACATCAAACATTGACATCATCGTAAACATCATCAACTGTGCGATTGCATTTCACGCAATTATGTTAAGCTATATTAAAAGTCTAGTTAAGTTATGGAGAAAACAAAATTATGTAGTATGTAGAAAAATAATAACATCAACATCATCATCATCATCATCATCATCAAGATCAAGATCAGTAACTCATTAGACAAATGGAATTGATATGGTACAGGGTGTGACTAATAATTGTGATTGTCAACCACAACCATCATTGTTCAGTCATCCAGCAGTGCGATGCGGTGGTGCCCATGTGCAAGTGTGCTGACACCGTCCGTTCGGATGTATCGTTTGCTGTCGAACGGCGACAAAGACGACTTGGTCATCGTCTCCGTGAAGATACGATGCGAATGGCTGCGCAGGGTGGTCATTGCGTGTGACATCCTTGTCCTGTCGACCAGACACTGACGGTAGTCCGCGATCGTGAATCTTCTCGTCACCGCTCTCTTGACGCCCTTTGCACGCTGACCACTCTCCTCGCCATCGTACGCGTACATTTTGGATCTGAGCGCCACGAACTCTGTCATGAGCTTCCCTCCGAGCTCGTCCTTAAATTTACCTACAACCTTCTTATTACTCTCGCTGTACAGAGGACTGTCGGGGCTAAAGTTGCTGGTGTCGTACTGATCGGCCATACTCTTCATGTCCGCATAGAGGTTCTCCGTGCGGAACAGCAGCACCAGCGAGTCCGTGTCTGTGTACAGCAGGCTCATGCGGTCTCCGTAGCGTGGCTGGAGCTCGTCATAGTAAAATCTGTACATCAGCTCCTTGCTCAGCTCCAGGATGCTCATGCCAACGTACACCGGCTTGTTCAGGTGGACCGCAAGCTTCCTGTTCTCGACGCCCACAAGCCCGTTGTCGAAGAGGACATGGCGGACGTAGGTGGACTTGGCCACAGCTGTGAGAATGGTATCTTCCTCGTCTTCCACACGCAGCAGTCTAATTGAGATTCTTCTCCTCACATTCTCCATTGTCTTCCCAAACACAGCGTTATTCATGAGTTTAAAGAAGTCCTTCTCGAAATCGTTCTTCGCCTTCTTCCGAAGCTCCGTGTTCAGCTGGATGTAGGGCTTCATCCACGGAGCTTGGCGGAAACTGAGCACGCGGTGTACAGCATCGATCCTCAGACCTAGACGACTGTACAGCCTGAGGTTACGGTAGTGTGCTACGTAGCGCTGCTTTGGCATGAGGTTCGGGACCAGTTTCGGAGCACTCAGTCCGGAGACAGGATCTGCTGCAATCAAGTCGCGCTGGTATGGCGACATCATACTCTCGGTGATGGTTACACGCTCCGGTGCGGGTGGGTAGTCGTTCAGGCGATCGTGGAACTCTGTGGGCACTGACAGATCACACTCCACCATGTACCCAGTGTCTGCGTCATCTGGCTGCGTGAGGATCTTCTGCAGGAGTTCGTCACTGGGGACACACCACTGGAATTTTGATGTCGGCAAGTGCTGCGACATGGCCCAGCCGTACAGGTTGTTCGCGTCGAGGTATTGAAGATATGTTGACGCCTGCTCAGGGTCGTGTGAGCTCATGTACTTGTTGTTCGCCCTGGCGTGGCGGTGTGACGCCATTGTAACACCGCCACGAAGACCGCGCTCGACGAACAGATGCATGTCCACGTCGTCCAGCAGAGTGAGCGAAATTCCTGTATGTTTCAGAAGGGCGTCCCACGCGAATCCAGGCAGGGTGTAGTAGTGTGTCGGGTCCAAATCGTACGTGACCATTGCAGTGCATCTAAATTTCTCAAACACATCTGCAAGAAGGTGCACATCGGTCTTCAGGTAGAGATCATGGTAGTCGCCCATGTCGCTGCAGCCGAATGCAGTCCACACACGCTGGGCATGGCAGTAGTCCTCATCGCTGATGTGGCACTCTGAGAGGCGTGAGTAAAAGTCTTCCTTTGCAGGAAGACCAGTCTCGGAAAACCTAGCGCTGCTGTTCATGTATTCGTAGGGATAGACACCTTTGCGATGCAGGAGATCCAGCAGGTTATTGCTAGACGAGCCCGGTGCACTGCTGCTGCTGCTGGTGCTGCTGGTGCTGCTGCTGCTGCTGCTGCTGCTGCCCGGGGCGTTGTTGCTGTACGACGAAGCCAGGGACTTGAGATGAAAGAACGAGTCGCGAGGCGTGTTGCTCACTAGCTTGTCCAGCGATGCGTTCAGAAAGGAAAGACTGTCAATAAATCGGAATCTCCCCCACGAGAATGACACATACCGCTCCATATTGTTGGGTATGACAGTAACGCGCCCCTTCACCTTGCGTCGACGCCGTCCTTGTCTGTCAATGTACTCCTCAGTGTTCATGGACGTGAGGCCGATGCTGGATATCAGGAGATGTCCATCATACCCTTTCAGGTTGTGAAATACAACGGGGATGGGATGGTGCTCTGGCACGATGCGGAACTTCAAATTGCAGGCGTTGTGTGCAGCTCCTCTGTACAGTCCGGTGAGGTGGTCGTGGTCGCGCACTCGATCAGCACCCTTCAGTTTCTTGCCACAGATCCAGCACTCTGTGGCATTGCGGAACTGCACCTCTTCATCATCCGTGATGATGATAGGACGTATGTTCTTCAGGTCTTCCTCTATGCGCTCTTCCTCCTTGGAGAGCTCTTCGAAAAGCTTTTCAATCGGATCATCTCCTACATATACAAAAGTAGAAACAACAACAAATTATTCATCACTCTTTCCTCCTTTTTTTCATAAAATATTATCTCTCTTATTGACCACTGGATATTGTGAGAATAAAGATTTAACGACTGGGTATACGATTAACGCTGATATTTCACATTTACACACACACACACACACACACACACACACACACACACACACATTGAGCAGTACATTTAATTAGTTATGCTGAAGGACTCACCTCTGAACGTGAAAGTGTTCTTCAGTACACCATCAGAGCGTACGACGACATACGATACTGCACATGGTACGTGTTCAGCTTCACGAACAGTTTGCTTCCCATGGCGCTCTGGAGACGTTGCTTTCAGCAGACACTCAGTATCGGCATAGATCACATACGGCATTTTCATCTTCCTCTGTATCTCCGTGAACTTGAGCTGCTCGCCTGCTTTTGGCATCTGGACTGTCGCTGCCTTCACATCGCTGCAGTATAGTTGATGCTTCTTCAGAGTGGTATCGCTGCGATGTGCGGAGAGGCATCGCATGCAGAAGAACCTCTTGTGTTGGGACTTTGTCTGGCTGGCACATAGAGCGCTAAAGTCCTTTATCCAGCAGTAATGGCTAAGGAGATCATCTTGCAGGATCAGGAGATTTATTGCATTGTCACTACCTGATAACTTTATGGGAATGATGTAGTTTTCTTCAAATGCAAACACGTTGATGTTCAGCGAGTTGGCCTTCTCCACCCTGTACACATCATCTATGGTTGCAGGGAACTCTACACCGTCAAAGTTGAGACTCTGCGCATACTGCGCATACTTGCTCACACGTTCTGCATGTTGCACAGCTGGATGCAGGGCAGACAGAAGAGCCCACTTCAGACACTGCTCGTCGTCATTCTTCACATTGATGATGGCCTTTGACGAAGCTAACTTTTTAGGTAGAGGAAGGTACGACGACATGCGCATTGGACGATACTTGCAAATATCAAGATGTGCAGTTTTCACATTACTCACAGCCCAGCCTGAACCACCTTGCACCCAAGCGTCCACCTTTGCAGTGATCCCGTCGAAGGCGGCGGTTAGTAGACCTGGAATGTTGCTCACGTTCAACACAGTCATAGGCCGGCTTCGGAAAAATGGAGAGGCGTAGACGATTGCACCTGCGGCATTGGGCTTCTCAACAGTGACACAAAGAACCAGTACAGCTTTGAACTGCTGGATGCCTAGCTCGTGCACCATTGTTTCATACAGATCTGGCGATAGATCGTTGAGAACGCCAAGAACGTCCTTCTGCTCGTCTAGGAAACTGGCTCTATACTCTCTCAAGAATCCACGAGGAGCTGTACGAGTCAAAGTAAGTGCGGATTCTTTTCTCAATTTTGGGGGTGAAGAGCTGTCATCCTCACCAACTCCCACATCACTATCACCACCGCCACCGCCGCTTGAACTATGCATCCGCTTCATGTTTCAAAGGAGTAGCGGTAGCACTGTTTCACCAACCTGTGATACAGTTGCGGGTGTGAGCTGCGGTTTATATACTGTGTGGAGTGAGCAATGAGTGTTGGTAGAATGCAGTACAGAGTGCATGCTATTGACAGGTTCTTTTTGCATCGATGTTCGAGATGTTTCTTTGTAATACAAATATCGCATGCTATTGACAGGTTCTTTTTGCATCGATGTTCGAGATGTTTCTTTGTAATACAAATACCCCCGCTAAAAGTGCTTTCAACCCTATCAACTTACATGTCTGTCGATATCAATTTATAAATGAGTCACACCTCCTAAAATACCCCCCTATGACATCATACCGTAGAGCTAGTTCTAATAATATTAGCCTGGGAATACCTAGAAGGTTCCAGAACACATTCCCAGACAGTGACTCTTGTCAACAACCACACCCACCACTTTAAAAGCACTTATGACGTCGAGAGACACTTCAAATACCACTTAATCATTAATCCAATTAAATATGACACCTGGCCCACTTCAAAACCACTTCAGATCTCAAGTGGCCACTTCATTACCACTTATCCAATTAAAAGTTCAAGTGGCCACTTAATTAATAACCGCAAAGTTCAAGTACCCATTCATAAGGTCAAGTGGGTTCAACCTTGGCCCAGGACCGGCTCGGTCACTACTACTGACAGGCAAAATACATCAACCAATGAAGGGAGTAACAAAGGAAATATCAGTCTTTATCAGTCGTTATCACTCTCTTATTATTGACCCCCACAGAAACTTGTGATCTCTAAGCGGTCAAATATGTATAGGATATTGACCAAGACGAGGCCTATATTTCCCATATAGACCGAAGTCGAGGTCAATATCCTATTTATCATGATTCCTTTGCCATAACCCCAAAATTTGAACCTTTAGTAGCTATTTTAACCTTTTTAGTATAGCATTTGTACTATACTATAGTGTACATAGGATGTTGCCAATTTTAGGTACAAGACTGTAACAACAACAGAGTTCAGCATCTGCAGCACAGTGGCTGGGTGGTATAAGGGGTTGCTTGAGATTCATACTGTTGTGAGTTCGAATCCTGCTTGTTCTCTTCCTTTGTCTTCTTTCTTTCAATTTTTCTTTTTGAAGTGGAGAGAAAAAATTCTAAGTCCCTCCAAAGTCGAAAGATTACAATGCCTAAGTGGTCGATACAAGCGGTCGATAAGCGATCGATATTGCGGCAATATGGGTAATATAGGACCAGTCAAGGATCACGAGAATTAGTGGAGGTCGATATAGAAGAGTGATAAGTATGTATTACTGCACAAGGACCAGTGCAATACCGGCCGATATCTGCACGAACGGCGAAGCCGTAAGTGCAGATATCGACGCCGGTATTGCACGCGTCCGAGTGCAGTAATACATTTATCGCACCCCTGCCGCCACACAGTCTGTCACCACACACTTGACACAGTCTGGTGCAACCCTAGCATGCTGCATGCAACCCTGCTATCATTTCACAGTCATACAACACAGAAAACCAGTCGCGTTCATTTTTAGAGGAACACTTCTTTCGAGTAGCTGCTGTCTATCACGGGAGATCCTGGAAGTAGCGGGACAGCTTGCTCATGTCGTCGTCGTTGATGGGGTGTTTGTGCTCCACCGCTTTGACTTCTCCCGCTTTCTTTGGCTTCATGAGGAAGGCCTTCAATGCAATGTTTGCGTCCTTGAACGCTGGGTCACTGTGGACGTTTATGGGCCGCTTCAACTCGACTAGCTTGCGATGTATTGCGGAACGGAAACCGAGCAAGCTTGATGCAGAGTAGAACTTCACTCCAGCTTTCTTCGGACGCAATTCGACGTATGCATGTCGCAGAATGTAAGCTAGGTCGCTTGCCGTAACCGTACTCAGGTCACAGCGACGTCCTGTGTCTTTACAATACTCGTCGAATAAGCGGAGCCATTTGTCAGTTGCCTGCTCTGTGTTTTTGTTTTTCTGCTCAGAAACGAGGCTGTTCGATGGCGGCGTCGGACAGTTTCTCAAATCGGCTGTCGACAGTCTTCTCCAATACTTGGGCGTCCGCTGTCTCGACTCTCACGGAGCTTGTGAAGTTGACTTGGCGGACGCAAGCCGGGTCCACATTCGCTTCCGCGACATCGACAGCGTCCTCGACCAATTATTATTTTGGTGTGCTGCATGCAGCAAGTCAGCAGCGACTCCCTGGCGGAGCGACTCGCAATATTCCCAGCACACCGCCAGCCAATGACTATGTGGATGCACTGCAGTGCGATATTGCACCCCGGCGAGTGAGCGTGCAAATAACCTATATCTGCACGCTCACTTCGAAGCCAGCGTGCAAATAACCTATATTTGCACGCTCGCTTCGAAGTGAGCGTGCAAATATAAGTGTCGTGCAAATATAGGTTATTTGCACGCTCACTCGCCGGGGTGCAATATCGCACTGCAGTGCATCCACATTGGCTGGCGGTGTACTGGGGAATATTGCACGCTCAGTAAGGCCGCTGATTGGCTCAAACCATGGAAACACTCACGTGGGGTGCGATAACAGCATATATTGACCGCTTATATTGACCACTTATTATTGACCACTTAGCCCGAGGACTTTTATTTATTTTTTACCGCGCGAAATCTGCCACTGCACGGGCAACAGAACATAATGAGACTCGTGAAAAAAGAAAAAGGCCCAACCCTGCCCTGCCAGTTATTTGGACTTACGGGGGTCGCCATGGCAAATAATAATGGAAAAACCAAGATCAATCGTGCACGCAACACAAGTAAAAGAAGAAGAAAAATGGAACAGAGAATCAGAAGTGGCATTCTGCTGCGGCCAGCACAGCGGGAATGTCAGCCAAAGCTCGGTTAGATTTCGGTTGAGCGGCGCGATGTCCACGGAGGCTAGCATTTGCTGAGCGGACAAGAGAGAAAGAGACCCTTGACCTGATCCAGGCCAGTACGGTGGAATAGGGCTCTTTTCTCTTGTCCGAAAGCATACAGGCAACTCTGTTGTAGAGCGCAGTGGCCGCTTTCCCGAATCCTCCAGATGCACTCAAGACGACCGGCACAAATGACGCGTGCTCAATTTCACGGATTCGCTCCTCATACGAGCGCCTCTTCTCAGCTTCGTGTTTTCGGTAAGTAGCTGGAAGTGACTGCTGGCGGTTGGACCGTGCATGGGGGTTGAAGACGCGGATGTCTAGGAACGTCTTCTCGAAACGCCCACCCCATATGCCGGATGCTGCCACGTCCAGGCGAGCGCCGTCGGCTGAGATCGCTGTGCGATGACGCAGGGTCTCACCGGTGATCGGTTGCAGTGAAGGTTCGGTGCTCACGTCATGGGCCACGTCCTTCAGGAGGGATGCTGTTAAATCACGGAGGTCGTTGTGACGCATGGAGGGGTAGCCGCCAATGGGGCAGGACAAAGCGTGTTCAGGTGTGAAAGAAGCCCCGCATGCACAGGTTGAGGGCAGTCCAGACGGGATCCAACCATAGCGCAAATGAAGCGAGTCGCGGAAAGCTTGTTTGTTGAGGACAAAACCATAGCGATGGAGCGGGCGGCAGGTAAGCCAACTAGAGGCTCCCTTCTCTGATGCCAGCTCCAGCACACGGAGCGTGGCGGGTGGGCAGCTATCCTTGATGGACTTGGCGTGGTCCATGCGTGCACGGCGGGCTTGTGATGAAGCATCTGCCTTCGCTTTTCTTGTCTCGTGCGGGATGCCGTCGAGGGATTCATCCTGACGCAGGATACGCTCTACGAGGGCGCGCGTGATAGCTTTGGAGTCACGATGCTGGACTGACAGGGAGGCCGGGATGATGAGCCCCAAACCTCCGTCTCTGCAGGGTAGAGCTAGGATGGACCTTTCAAGATCACCTGGAGGAGGTCGGTGGGTGATGGCGGGAATGAGCTTCATGCGGATCGTGTCCTCCAACGGAGCTAGCAAGTGCGCGGTGTCAGGCACGGTGCGGGCTATGAAGGCCCATTTGTGCCGCAGGCCCTGTCCAAATGCCGCAAATGCTGCTTGGGGCTGGGTGACAGCATACTGGGCTAAGACTGCAACCTCTGCGCACCACTCCTGGACTTTCGATCGAACAAAACCCTCACAGTACTGTGGGGTGCCCAGAACTGCGCCCAGATGACGACAGCCGTCAACCCGGATGTCCACATTGGTGTCACCAAAGAGCTCGGCTGCTAGGTCAGCATGGTCTGGTTTTGTTAGAAGAATGGACTTCTTGGCGTTGATGAAGTAGCCGAAAGCTTGCCCCTCTTCCTCCAGGATAGACCACCACATGCGCAGCGTCCGCAGCTTGCCACCCGCTGTTGAGTCGTCTGCGAACCAGGCTTGAAGGGCACCGCTGGACTTGGCTCTTTGTATGAGGGGTACCGTTCCAAGTGCATACATGGCCATGGCGAGAGGATCGCCTTGGGTGGTACCTTCGCAAGACAGAAGTGTTTCGCCTCCAACGAAGAGCTTGGATGGGGAGCGGTAGGAGTTGATGACGGTAGTTGAGAACTCCGGGCAGAGGTGGCGGATGTTTGCGAGACATGCAGCACGGTTAATGCAATTGAAGGCATTTGAGGCATCGGCAAGTAGAACGGCTTCCGTGTCGTCATTTGCGAATGTGGTCTTGATGGCTTGAATTGCAGCTTCGATGCCACACTGTTGGCCGGCACAGAGTTGGAGAGAGCCGACTGCTTGTTCGATGGCTGGACCGACCACTGTCAAGATGGTTTTCCCTAGCACGCGGCGCACAACTTCCCCAACGCCAATAGGGCGCACACCTGGTTGTTTGTCTAGGGGAATGAGCCGGCAGGCATTGTAGGCCTCCAATGACGCTGGATCAACAGGGCACGATGCTAATCGGCGTGCACATAGTGCTAGGGCATCGCACAGGTCGTCAGAGGACGAGCCGAATGACGTGCAGATTTGTCGCCAGCCCACTGCATCCATACCAGAAGGCCCCGCTGCTCCAGTGGTGTTGAGTACTGCCTGCTTCACGACATCCCTGGTGATGGCGGAGAACATGATTGGATGGGGAGGTGGGGGTGGGACACCTGTGATTGCTGCACTATCTT